TCGGCAGCACCGTGTTGGGCATCAGGCTGAAGAGCACTTGGATTAGATTGCACCAGCCACTCATATAGTTGTAGGTGGCGAATCTCTGCATGCGCACGCCATTCAATTTGATGGCGTATTGAAGGATGATGGTGATCTCTTCAACGATCGCTTTGCGCTGACCGCTCACAATGGTGCTCTGCACGTGCCGCAGTTCGTCGTGCAGAATGTCATGGAGCTTGTGTATATTGATCATGCCGGCCGCATTCACTTTGCTGCCCTTGCCCGCCTCGCAGTCGGTAAGCAAGTTGCTCAGAAGGCGCTCATCGAAAAACTCCAGCTTGGGCTGGTTCAGCGTTTGTGTCTCCAGCTTGATGCAGTCGAGCAAACGGTTCGCGTGCAGACCCAACGATGCCGTGTGCAACATCACACGACTGGGTATAATATCACTGAAGTGATTGGGTACCGGCGGCGTCAACAAATTGTTGCCAATCTCCACGGGCATGTTGTGCCCATTGCGCTGCGTCTCCGAATTGACAGCCAGCAGTATGTCGGACAACAGAGCATAGCGTGTCGTCTGGCCGTTGGTGGCGGCTAGCTTCATCTCAATGGACACACAGTTCATGACGTGGCTCATGGCGTGCAGCACATTGTCCTCGCTGAAATAACGGAAGGGCATCGCAGTCAGATGGCGCAGCAGAAAGTCATTGCAGGTGAGACGGAAGTAGCGTAAAATTGCCTCCGATGTGCGTCGATTGGCGCAAAGGCCATGGAATAGATGATAAACGCGCTCCACAATGTGAGCCGTATGCTCGCAATACTCGTCATTCTTTCGCTGTTGCTAAATGTGGAAGAGAGCATTAGTCTTAATATGAATAATATAGCTATGTGAGTCTACCTCTAGATGACGCTCCAGCAGGAGTACCATTGAATTGATGCAGGAACAATTCACCTCCAGGCCCAACTGCTGTTGATTCTCATTGCCCAGGAAGTCGCGCAGGACATCGATGCCAAGCAGAAAGTATATGAAATTGGGCATTGGCTGGCTAAGATTGGTTTCGAACAGATGGATGATCGCCTCCTTAATCTGCAGTTCGATGCGTGCCGGTTTCCTCAGATCGAGCGCATCCAGATCCACCTGCATTCCGCTCTCATTCAGACTCCCATTGTTTCCATATTTATACAAATCGTTGGACTTGCCTTGCTCCTGCTCGTCATCGTAGGTCTGCTGGATGCGCTGCATCTCGAGGCATTCGACAAATCGCTGGCGTATCTCCAGCTTCTCATTGGAGCCATGCGCATACATGTTCAGGATCTGGGTAGCCACGTTGGGCAGCAGGCAGACGGCGCTGAGGATCTTAATTGCGGCCAGGGTGTGGCGCGGCAGCCAACTGTTGAAGCTGACGAACTTGATGATATTGAGGACGTAGTCGGGACTGCGAGTGCGCGGATTCAGATCGAGCAGCATGCGATTGAGGCCCAGCAACAATATCGAGCTATTCGATGTGGCGTGCGCCTCGAAGAAGGCATTCTGCTTTGACAGCGCACACTCGAGCATCAGCAGCGCGTAGAGGGCGCAATCCTCGAGCAGCTCCTTGCCATTGAACTGATTGAAGTCGTCGAGGCGTTCGCGTGCCTCCTCCACGAGCAGTAGGACCAGACGCAGCATATCCGACTTGACTTGCAGCTGCAGCATTACGTGATAGCCGGGATATGGATGCTCGTCGCGTTCCTCGAGGAAATCGGAAGCCTTCGGGCGATAGCTGGCGAGCAGGAAATACAACAATTTCAGACAGCTGGCGCCCACGGCCCACTTCTCGGTGATATCCTTGTAGGCACGATTGTAGAACTTCAGCATTATCGAGTCGATGACAAATTTCAAATATGGATCATAGCCGGGCTGACGTGGACCACAGCCCAAGCTCTTTGGCATATTGGTGGTCATCAGATTGTACAGCAGCTGGAGTATGCCACGGGTCAATTTGTACTCCTCCAAGCGGCTCTCGTTCTGATTGATCTCCTCCGCCAAGCTGAACACCGGATAGGTAGTGGTCACCGTCGGTATTGTGGGTATAATTTGGGACTCCTCCAGGTGGAACCAAATATTGCGTGCCGTCTCCTTGGAGCGCGACAAGGCAGCCAGCGTGAACAGTATTTCACCCTTAAGATTTACGGGCGTGGCACACGCCACCAGACCGAGCAGCACTTGCGGCGTCTGCCAATTGGCATTGTCGCAGAGCATTATGCGCGATATCTCATCCCTGTCGGCAACGGCCTGCATAACGCCCATCACGGCGGCCATGTGCTCCGCTTCGCGTGGCGTCATATTTCGTGGTATGCCTTTGCGATAAATCGAGCCACTATCGGGTGATATCGTATCATAGTCAGTGCGCATATTGCTGCAAGGAGAGTCCAAGGGATTACAATCTGTTGTGGATGCAAATGCTCTGGGCGGAACTCACTTGAAATAGTTGTTGAGGGCATAGAAGAAGTGATCCCAGCTAACGGCATAGGTGGACGATAAATTCTGCGAGTTCTTGAGCAGATTGAAAGCGCAGCGTGCGGCAAATTCGGTGCGGGTGAGGCCCGCTATCATCTTCAGGTACGATCTGAAGAGCGTTTGGGGCAGCAGCTCGCTGGCCAGGCGTATGAACTTGAACAGGGAGACAGCACGTGAGGTATTCTGTACGTAGTTGCCGGAATTCGGTGTGGAGGCGTCGGTGGGACCCCAATACTCGTTGCATAAGATAATCGTGACACGTTTATCCCCATAGAGCCGGGCCACGCACAGCATCAGCAGCTCAAAGCTGCAGTCCAAATTGGGCGGCGGTTCGAGGCCCTCGTTTTGGAAACTAATTACGGTGCGGGCCGTCTCATCGGCGCGTCCACGCAGCTCCGAGACCTTGGCGTGCATAAAGTCTATGAAGTCCGTGATGAGCAGATGCAAGCGACGATAAATGAATTCGGTGCTGAAAGTGTTTAAGAATATTCTAAGCAAGAGTTCATACATATATATATATATATCGATAGAGCTTACGAATAGACCACATCCTTGTTAAGCAGATGATGGTAGATGTATGTGAACACATTGGCTGCGAGGGCCTCATCAATCAGCTGCTCATCCCGATTGATGAAGGCGCCCACAATGCTCTGATATTCGCTCGGCGCCTGCCGCAGACTGGCCAATGTTAGGCCAAAGCTATATTTGATTAGGACAGAGAGATATTGTGTATGCCAGGTACTTTGGGCATAGATTGCATCAATGAAACACTTGGCGTACTCCGGATCACTTAAAATGGGCAGCTTTGCTGTATGCGGACTATTGCATTCGGTTAACAGCAACACGGACGTATCGTAGGCATACATCAGGGCCATTAGCATTATTAGCGTCACATCTTCCAAGTTGCCATCGGGATCGGCGGACTTTGTATTGGCCAAATGCTGCAGCAGACGTATGGCAATGTTTTTGGGCAGGCCACGTTGAGCGGACCAATTGAAGAGAGCCATGGATAGGGCTTTGCGTATATCCTGATAGAGGCCAAGCACCTGATTCTGGTGTCTCTTCGAGCCGAAGGCGCGATTCTTGGTCAGCAAATTAATCTACATAGAGAATATATATTTCAGTTGAGCTTCAGTTACTGTGCTTCAGTTAGATGTGCACTTTACCTCCTTTTCAATGTCCATTTCAATGAGCAGCTCCAGCAGGCGTCCCAGTATATTGGAATCTTCGACGAGATTCTGGCAATAATTGTTGATCAAGGCGGTCATCTGCAAAGGGGATTTATATATATGTTAACATCGAATATTTAAGATGTCTGCATTACTAATTACCTCTCTGGGCAGCTCGGTGCTCCAGGAGACGCCGCTGATGGCCTGAAACATGTCGCGCAGCGTACAGGTAATTGCTTTGCGGCCATCATAGTAGAGCAATACGGCAACAAGGCCGCGCGGCAAGCCCGGATGATGCACTTGCTGGCGCTGGGCGGTGCAGAGCAATTCCAATGCGAAGATCTCATCCAGATCGAACATATCCGAAATTATAATTGCTTCATCAATGATATCCTGAGAAATTTCCACTTTGCGCGTCTGTCCCGCTAGCATGACGCCCTCCAGCATGGCGTTGCGCAAATGTGTGCGGCTCTTCTCGCTTTTCGGCTACATTGGGTCCGTGGTTGAGGAGGAGGATGCGAGAAGACGCTTTAGGTTAGGTCTCCTTGCTTTTTTTTTCGGTTGCACCACTTACCGGATTGCGTAGGAAGTTTGTAAAGTTCTGTTTGTACTTTTTGAGACTGAGCTCAAATTCGCCGGTGACCTCAGTCGGATTCCTTATGGCCATTTGGCATATATCATACAGACGCTTGTAAGGCGTCCACATGTCCTCAAGCACAGGTCCTAAACGCAATCATTTGAATTAATATTCACATGCATATTATAGTTCGAGTATACTCTACTTACCATCCATTTTGTGTTAGTGCTTTGCTTGCTTATCTATTCACAATAAACTAAAACTTATGCATAAAACGCGGCAAATATCTTCCGTTGCCGGCTTGCGAAACTAACAATTTCGATTGGCGATAACGATAATTGATGCTGGCGAAAAATCTGCATATAAGATTTTATCAGCTGATTTTGTTAATGGCAATTGGGCAGAGTGAAGGTAATAAATTCGTATATTTTGCTATTCCATTTTTTATTTTAACAATCATATCAATACGACTAAATAATACACAAATAACAGCTGATGTCTGCCTGCAAACCAACTATGTTGATTATTAACAAAATGCTTAGCACACACCACTAAACAGCAATTTACTCAGTTCAGCAAATATATTTGGCAATTGTTTTTCATTGAACAAGAATAGGTGATGGACGAATCAAGCGAATCTATGATACCAATATTCGTTTTTTGTTGCTAATTTCGATAAGCGAAGCCCGCTGGTTTTTCGTTTTGATTATCGCGGGTAAGGAATATCCCACATATGTTCTGCTTATCGGTAAATATCGCTGTATTTAGCGTTGCTCAACACTAATGCAGATAGCCCACGTGCAGTACTGCTTTGCACTCCAGCAAGTTGTTTATGAAAGATGGACAGTCCAAGAGAACGTGACGATAAAAAAAGAGTATGTAAATAATACAAACTAAAATAGTTATACTCATCCAGGTTAAATACTCCAACAGATAAAACAGTTGACTTTGCAAAATGGCGTGGTGAAGGAGGAAAAGAGAGTAGTACGACAATTTCACAAGCAATGCAAGAGTGAATTCTTGGAGGAGAATGATTATGTAGCAATTGATCCAAATAAGCTTTCAAATGAATGCCATGAAGAAATACAAAACTTTGATTCAGACACACATGATGCATGGATCGTGCAGTGCCCCAGAGGAATCAGTATAAGTTCATTGGTCGGCAAGCGGATTAAGCTGCCCGGTCGGCGATTTGTGGGTGACATTCAGGTGAGGAGCACAGACTATGAGCGGCCATTGACTCGCTCCATTGGCTATGTGAACAGCAAGGGCAAATATGCAGTACGTTCGATACCAGTGGCCGGCCATATGGTCGTCAGTAAACGTCTTAACATGGAAACGCCAGATGCGCTTGACAATGGAGAGACGAATGCGTCTCCAAAGACGGTTGGACCGCAAAAGTTCAGATTGCCGGTTCGTCATCCGTTCTTTGGGCGTGACTACAAGATGCGCGTTGATGTCGACAAGAAGACAGCCAAAAGGCTACTCAATGCGCAGAAAATGTGTGCCGAAGCGACAAAGCAACTGAGTTCCACTGGTAACTTCTATAAAATACGTCAGAAGCTTTTGGCCAGCACCCAGACGCTGAAACAGAAAGAACACGATGTACGTCAATCGGTTCTAACAGGCGTAGCTCCTAAATTTTTGGAGAAAAGCGAGCATCCCAACTATGTGGATTTGTTGGACTCGAGCGATGGAGAGACAACGATTATACAGGAGAACGAGGAGGAGCATCCTGTCAAAAAAAAGAAATCCAGCAAAAACAATGTAGATCTTAGCTTAGAGGACAACAATACGGAGAACCCCAGTAAGAAGTTGGAAAATGACTCTGAAGACAACAATGTGAAGAAACCAAGTAAAAAGCATAAATTGGAAAATGACTCCGAAGACAATGCAGAGAAGCCTAGTAAAAAGAATAAATTGGAAATTAATTCGGAAGACAATGCGGAGAAGCCCAGTAAAAAGAAGAAATTGCAAATTACCATTGTGGAGAGGCCCAGTAAAAAGAAGAGATTGGACAGCATTGAAAGTACAATTCAGGAAAGTGCGAAAAGGGTGGAAGTGTATTAATTTAAATTTTAGACACTCGTATATATGCATAATGTATATAAATATTTTTTATTTAAAATCTGCGCAGTTTTTGTGTTCTTCGTTGTGAATAGTTTTATAGAAAGAAGCAGACGATTCCTATCGATTGTGGATCGTATATGTCGCGATTAATATCGGATTTTAATGAGAACTAAAAGCTAACCAAACAAATCGTTATAAATTCTGGTAACATGCTTAGCATCAAAACACAATAGAAAAATACCAAATTAAGTTATTGGCATCAAATTTCATTCACAGTTTGTATGTATGAAATGCGATCTTTTACCATATTTTTTTCGCTAACTCCTTTTTTTTATAGATTCAAAATTATGAGCAGATTTGGCTATTTACGCGAGGGCGTCAATGTGGCCCTTCTCATGGGTGCCGGTGATATGATCGCTCAGTTCTTTATCGAAAAGAAAGAGTTTAGTGCCTGGAATATCTCACGGACGGCACGTTTCAGTGCTGTGGGTCTGATAGTTGTTGGACCCGCTTTACGCAAATGGTATAGCACCTTGGATAGGTTGGTATCCAAAGAGCAGACGCCGATAAAGCGGGGCTTTAAGAAGATGCTGTTAGATCAGTGCCTATTTGCGCCTCCATTCACATTGCTGCTTTCATATTTGGTTCCGTTTGTGAATGGCGAGAAACATGAGGATATTGTGCAACACGTCCGCCAGAACTATTTCACGATAATGAAGAATAGTTTTTTGTTGTGGCCATTGGCGCAAACAATTAATTTCATTGTTGTGCCATCTCAGTACCAAGTGATTTATGTCCAGATAGTGGCTCTGATTTGGAATTGCTATTTATCTGACGCTCTCAATTCATGATAAATATCAGTTTATTTATTTTCTTTTAATAGGTACGAATAGTAAATCAGACTGAAAATATTAATAAATCAGATGTGAAAAATATAAAATAAATGCAACACCGGGTATACAATAGTTACATACAGTAATATGCACGTTTGTTTTTCTTTCTATAATTTGGAAACAATATCAGCTGTGTGGGTGACATTTACGTGTGAATGCGTTTACATCGATAAAATTGCCACATATCGATAACATTACAGCTCTGTAGAGCAGCTTTCTGCGCGCGTTCATTTGCTATTTGTCATTTTATTCTCTAGAAAATAAAACTTAAAAAATGCAGCAGACCCGTGAGATACTGACCTTTCAGTTCGGCACATATTCCAATTATGTGGGTGCACATTTCTGGAACCAGCAGGTGAGCGACCAACACGAATTGCAAACAGCTGGTCAACCTTTGCATATCTTGTAGGAGGCAAACTTTGTTTATGATCGCGAGGGCAATATAGCGGAGGAGCAGCTACCTGAGAATGACATCCTCTATAGAGAGGGTCTCAATGATCAGAAACAAACGACATATACGCCACGATTGCTATCGGTTGATTTACTAGGCACATTGCGACATTTGCCAGTTGTTGGTGAATTGTATGGCAACTTTTTGCCAGTGACGAACGAACAGAACACAGATGAGCTACAGAAAGCCAAAGATTTAGTTGAACAGAGTCAGATGCTGACGCCCGGCGGTCTGGATGTACGCACGCAGCCACCAGTCGAGCTCTCCGAATACCAATTGGATTTGGTAAAGGGTACCGTGGACACCGAAAATAAGGATTACAAATTGGCTGACACGTGCAGCAGCTGGGCGGACTATCTGTATGCACGCTATCATCCGCGCTCACTGAATGTGCTCCGGGGCATGCAGCGTCAGACGGATGTTCAGGTGCTGGGCACCCAGGTGGCTGGCGTCGAGCTGTGGCAATCGGTGGCCTTCAACGACGATTTCTGCGATCGTATTCGCATGTATGCGGAGGAATGCGATGCATTGCAGGGCTTTCAGTTGCTCTTCGACATTGACGATGGCTTCAGCGGCTTGGCCACCAAGTGTCTGGAGCACTTGAATGATGAATATAGTCGGGCCAGCTATGTACTGCCATTACATTATCCACGTAACATTTCCTATGCCCAAGCAGGTGCGTTGCTTGTTCAGAGCTGTCCAGACTTTCCCGTGTTAATTATTCGTTTGCCCATTACAGATCCGCGCACGGCACACAGCATCCGTGTGGTGAATAGCGTGCTCAGCTATTATCATCTCAGTGAGCAGGCAACTATGTTTACGCCGCTTTCCACGCTGGAGACCATTTGGCGTAATACGACTTCGCAATCGAGACGAATGCCTGGTCTTCACTGGCAGCCAGATAATCTGTACCAGAGCTCTGCTATTTTGGCTGCCTACTTGGATACGGTGACGATGGGCTATCGCCTGCGCAATACGCCGGAATCGCTGTTACGCTTCTGTGAGCGCGTTACCCCAGCTAATCGCAATATGACGGCAGCGGGCCTATCGCTGCCATTGGGCATGGAGCAGGAGCAGGATCTGATTGACTTCCTGGATGGCAGCAATAATAGCTCGTTGCTGACACAGCTAACGCCTGGCTGTGAGCCGGGCGATTCGCATGTTGTACAATCGATTGTGGCTCGCGGAATACCCCATTCACGGCTCAAGCGACCCGTGGACCAGGCCGGTCCGCAACTGCGTATGGCGGCCTACAAATGCGAGAGTGTCTCCCAGATGCTTCTGTTGTACTACCAGTGTGCCTATCATGGCAGTGTTACGCATGCCGCCTCCATGCCGCTGCCACTGAACACTAAGCTACCATTTCCCTATGAAATCTTTGATGCAGGCATCGCAGCTGATGGCTTTAAGTTGCTGGGCCAGGCGGAGCGGGAGAAGGACATTCGTGTGCGCAGTGCTCCAGCTCTAGCGGCTGTGCAGAGCTCCAGCAAACTGGGCGCGCATCTGGACACACTGCATGGGCAAACGCATCGTGTGCAGTTGGTCAAGTTGCACAGCTACACGCAGTCGGGCTTCGAGAAGGAAGAGTACGACACGGCACTCGATAAGCTGCTCGAGTTTAGAGACAACTACAAAGATGCTCACTATCTTTAAATCTGTGATAACACACACATTCAGAATAAACACACACACAAAATTCATAATAATTCACAATAGTAATAAACATAGATTCATTTTTTTATATTATTATTATTATTTTTATATTTACTTTGATTTTTCACATATGAAATATATTACACAGTTTTCTTTTATTTTTATATGTATTGATGTTTATTTAACCTACTTTTTTATTCGCTAGTTAATTATTCTAATATTGGCGCTTGGCTCATTTTCGTTAATTTGAATTCTGACACAAAGTGCACTTATCGGCGCCTATCGATCTTTGCTCTGTTAACTTACGCATAAACATTGCAGCACTCTCAATTGCGTCGCATGAAAAATTGTTGATCTAAAATGTATAGAATTGTAATATATTAAATGCATATTGCGTATCAATCAATGTATTTATGATATTTATTTATTGAAAATTTATATTTATTATATGTATATCTAATTTTTTGCGTGTGCTAACATGCCTTGTATGTATGTTCTCATATAAAGCGTCTGCATCTGCAGGCGTTATTTGAACCGCGCTGCTGTTAATCAAATGTTAAAACTTAGATCGCTTGACAAATGTACTAAATTAACATTGGTGCGATGTACCTAATTCCAAAAATTTGTACATTTTAGCGGCAGTCTGTTTTATTCAATATTTGAAATTGTAATGGGATACAAAAATACTTGCTTAAAAGTCCATCCGCAAAAGCTCAAAAAGTCAAAAACTTAGGTGGCGTGCCGAAAAAATCTTTTTGCTTTTAACGCCAAATCCTCGCAGCTTTGCATAGAACTTCAGCAGCAACGATTTTTTGTTTCACTTGCTGGCAATGTTGTTTTTGTTTGCTCTGAATGTATTGAGGGATTCCTGCTTTAAGCGTCTGCGAAAGTGAGTTTCACGTGAAAAGCAAAAATGAACACTGAGTGAATGATTAATTTTATTAATATATTCTATAAATTCTGAATTATATATTGCATTTTCAGGAAGTCACAAGTGTTATTGAATTGTGTTTGCATTGTCTTTGAATTGTATTTGTTGTTTTTGCCACTGCTTTCATTTTGGTTTGGTGTTTTTGCTACTTCTTCCTACAAGCAGTGCAGAGGTAGCTCCGCTGTCTAAGCCGATGCACGTCATGCAGACTTCCCCGAGTTCAAATCCCGGCGGTGTTAAGTATTTTACAATCTGAAATGAAGGGTAATAATTTTTAATTCAATGTTCTTGAAAGTTTGTAAACATACATACGTTGTATATACATACATATACATGTACAAATGTATGTATATGTCGGAACAGTAATAGTATCAGTCATCGTTTCGCGCAGCGAGTTTCGTTCGCACTTGAATCCTAGACGCAACTAACTTGTGTCTCTCCATTATTCTTTGTGCCTACTCCCGAACCTCACTCGGCGACAGCGACACAACGCTGT